AAATTAAAATAATAATCGTAACAGCTAGTATTTATATACCATCTCCCCCTAAAACCCACCACCACACAGTTTCATTGGGTCACACAAATGATTAGAATTCTTGGAGCCAAAATGATCTCAATCTATCCTCAAATTTTAAACTGGTAAGAAGCCCAGCTCTCCCAAAGAATGCAAGTATGGAATGTGAGTGCCTAGTGGGTTGGTCCTCTTCAAGATAAAAGGACAAACAACAACAACCTAGTGGGTAAGGTCTAGTAGGCAGCTAGGTGCCTCAGTGGGTAGAGCACTGGGCCTGGAGTCAGGAAGACCTGAGCTCTAATCTGGCATCAGCTACTTTCTAGTTGTGTGACCCTGGGCAAGTTGCTTAACTTCTATTTGCCTTAATCCACTGGAGAAGGAAATGGCAAACCACTCTAGTATCTTTGCCAAGAAGACCACATGGACAGTATGGTCCATGGGGTCACACAAAGTCAACAATGTTTGACCAACAATAAGGTCTACAAAGGACTTCACTCATGTCATCTCATGGGAGGTCCCTTCCAGCTCTAGTATTTATGGTAAGTTCATTAACACCAAGGTTCTAGTTGCTGCCATTCCCAGAATTATGTGGATTTTTAAAAAGAGCCCAGGGAATCTCAGAATCCCAGGGTCCAAAGGGACATCAGGAGGCATCCAACCTGTGACCTAGCTGAAGCATGTATCCCCTCTGTAAGCACCTCCACTGAGTCCCCCACCTCTCCTTACAAGTTTGCAGTAACAGAAATCTCACGCCCTACCAAGGCAGACCATTTCATGATCGGACCCCTCTAAATTCTGAAGGAATCTTCCTCCCTCTAACGTCGACCTGTTGCTCTGACTTCCGTTTCCACATTCCAATAAATACATTCCTAGTGTTGGAATTTTAGACGTGGTGACTATGGTTGTTTTTCATACCTCATTTTCGAAGAGGACCAGGGACATCATGAGGGTGATGTCCTGATGAGTGAATGAATTGCATTGAAGAGAGGCAGACACAGTGTCACCCGGGTTGAAGAGATTTTTGCAGGGAAGGGAACCTGCCAGCTCATTTTAAAATCTACTGAATCTAAATGGCCAGCTACTGAGCCATTTGGTCAGTCAGGAAGATCTGAGTTCAAGTCTGGCTTCAGACACTGACTAGCTGTGTGACCCTGGGCAAGTCAATTAATCCGTATTTGCCTCAGTTCTTCATCTGTAAAATGGGGACACAATGGAGAAGGAAATGGCAAACCATTCCAGTATCTTTGCCAAGAAAAACCCATGGACAGAAAAGTCTAGGTGTGCATAGAGTTGGACACAACTAAATAACAACAACACTTTTGTCTACCTATAATGGAAGCCTCAATTCTATATATCCTAATCAGGATAAATCTTTCCCCTCTAGGATAGTCATGGATCATCCCCTAGGTCCAGTGTGAGGAAGCCACAACCTGCTCAGCCATGAAACTTTCCTGAGTAACTTCCTCCCCTTTCCACTCCCCAATTCACTTCAGTTAAGGAGGGAGGGGGGCCTTTGATGCTTTAATTAGCATGGTACCTTTTTAGGTCTCCATTTCTAAGAGTCCCCTTGAGTGGAAGGCTGATGAACAAGGAAATGAGAGGGAAATGAAGCCGACTCTTCGTGTACATAATAGAACCACTTAATAGCTCAAAGTACTGCACGCTGAATTCCCCTTGTTAGGAAATCCAATTAGAGATGAGTCAGAGAGCGGGATGGAAGTACTCTCCTCCTGTACTTCAGCCGCAAAATGAAGAAAGCTGAGCTCAGAGACCGTGGACTCATTCACTCGCGGCTCAGTGAGTGGAGTCAGTGACAGATACGTGTGCCTTGAGCAAACTCTGGGCAGCTATTTTCCACCAGCAGGTTTCTGGTCTAGTGAAAGGTACAGATGACTGTGAGGCAGAACTAAAACCAGGGCCCCTAAATATTCACACAGTCCTCCCAGTATGGTTCCTAACATCCTCCATAACCTTACATGTCTAAAGGCCCCTTTGAGCTCTGACATTCTGTAACTTTGTGAACAAAAGATAATGTGAACGTGATTTAATCTTATCTGGATGACTCTGGATCTTCATTAAGAGTATCCCTTATTGTAATATGTGACAACCTCAAGGTCAGTTAAGGTGTTTCAAGGACTCAAGTATCTTTTTTTTTCTACCCCCCCCCCACTACAAGAATGAATGAATGAATGAATGAAAGAACGAACTACTAGGTCAATCCCAGCAGCTAGCATTGTTTGCACTCTGACTCACCACCCCTAGCAGCTGAAAGGGATCAGTGTGCCCTGAAGCAGGGAGGTCTGTTTTCCATTGGCAAGACAGCTTTTACCTCCAGTGAGCATGACTGATTGTTAATTAAGTCCTTAGCGCACAGATTAAATCAACATTTTCATCAGCTGCAGTTCATTTGGTGGTGTTGTACAAGTGGCCACACTCCCAAATAAATAATCATCAAATTGCATTCTATTTTACACATTCGCACACTGCTCCAGGATGAACCAGGAAGAATCGATTTCAATCTTTTAACTGTAGGATTACAGAATGTGGGCGGATTGTTAAAATGTTTTGATATTCTGTTCTCTGCTTTTATGAGTTGCCCTAGGGGTGGGGAACCCGCAGCCTCGAGGCCACACGTGGCCCTTCAGGCCCTCAAGTGAGGCCCTTTGACTGAATCCAAACATAGTCAAAGGGCCACACTTGAGGACCTAGAAGGCCACGTGTGGCCTCGAGGCCAAAGGCTCCTCACTCCTGCCCTAACCTCTTCACACCAGAAGGAGAGGTTTTGGGGGGTTTTTTTGTTTTTTAGTTCTCCAGGAAATCACAGAATCATAAAATCTCAGTGCTAAAAAGAAACTCAAAGATTAGCTAGTCCAAATTCTACCTGAAGAAAGAATGCCATCCACAACATCTCCTAGAAGAGATGATCCAGCCTCTGCTTGAACACCTTGACTGATGAGAACTCACTACCAAGCCGCCCATTCCATTTTTTGTTAAACAGGTCTACCTTAAACTGAGCCAACTGGCCCCTCTGTAACTTCTATCCATTGCATATCGCCTGGTGCATAGTAGGCATTTCATAAATGCTTATTGAATTGTTGACTGACTTAATTCTGCCCTTTGGAATCAAACCGAAAAAGGACACAATCACCCTCCCCACTTCCCAGGTATTCAAAAACAGGGGTCATATTCCCTGCCATCTCCTGGCTGAACTTCCCAGAGTTTTTTTGGCCGGTTGGTTATTGTCCTTCCATTCTCACAGGACCAAAATGATATCATTATGTTGAAGTCAGGAAACAGTGTGTTGACTGTGGCTGATGGGACCAATACAAGCTCAGAAAGCTCTACCATAGGCCGGGCACAAATGGTTCATTTGGAATGGAGATGTCTCAAGATTTGCACATCTCACATTTCTTTTGAGCTACTGCAATCCTGCTTTACTTGTAGAGCACACAGTCCCTTCTTTGCTGCAGGCATGCCATGCTGGGCAGTCCTTTGCCAGCATCTCCCATGTCACACTTTCAGTTCCAAAGTTCTTCAGAGAGACATTGAGAGTGTTTCTGAGAGCAAACATTCATGTACCGACTCTCCTTCCATTTTCATCTTGGTTTGTAGCCTTTTCAAGTTAAACAGTCCTCATATGATTCAAAATCTTTGGGTCTGAAGGCTGTTGTCTAGTGATCAGCTTGGTGGCTGATCCCTGGGAACATCTTGACAGTGTTGGTACCTCTCTTATGGACTCATCATCTTTCAATTTGCATCCTAATTATTTGTATATATCTATCTCCCCAACTATTCTGTAAATTTCTCAAAGCAAGGGATTATATTATATGTCTTCATGTGGTTCCCAGTGTATGGTAAATGCCCGATAAATGATTGTTTCCTAAGATACATGAGACGCAGAATGGCAGAGTGGACAGAGAACTGGCCACTGAGCCAGGACACCCTGGCCTCAAGTCCCACTGTGACATGTACCAGTCATGTGATCTTGAACAAGTCACTTGACCTTTTTTTTAGTGCCCTAGACAACTCTATAACCACAATTTCAGAGCATGTGCCATTTTGTATCAGCAGATAAAGATGAGGAGTTCTCTACATTAATGAAACCATAGATCCCATAAAAAAAATCCTAAAATGTACTTCATGTTAGTTGTCCAAATGAAAGTTAGCTATGGCTTAAAGAGGTCATGTGTAAGTGTGTGTGTGTGTGTGTGTGTGTGTGTGTGTGTGTGTGTGAGTGTGTGAGTGGGAGCAGGGGAGGTGCTTATCATCTTGGGATCAGCCATGACTGGATTTAGCATCTACATAGTAACCAGGTCATATTCTCTTGGACACCCAGATAAATTTGATCCCTAGGTACATATTGTTAGAGCTCAGTCCTTGCTCAGCAAAAATCCATAGCTTGCTTATTCCTATACCCAGATAAAAGTCACCTTTCCAAGGTGAAGGGAAGATACTGGGGAGCACCAGGAAGTATCTCCTGTCAAGGTGGAATTTGAGTTGTCTTGAAGGAAGCTAGGAAAGCTAAAAGGCTGAGGTGAAGGAGCAGAGCATTCTAGGAATGGAGGGTAGCTAATGCAAAGTCAGGGAGAGGGGAGATGGGGTGATGTGTTCCAGTCACAAATCTCTTGGAAATCAATCTGGAAGAGTCATGGCCCAGGGCTTTGCCAGATGAGGAATACAGGGTTCAGAAGGCGCTAGCATCATGCAAAGCAACTAGCCAGATTGGGAGCTGGAACATCCCTGGATTCTAAGCCTGATATGCAACTAAATAGCTGTGTCACCTTGGATGAGTGATTTCATCACTCTGAGCCTCAGTTTCTTCATCCATAAAGTCAGGAGTTGGTACTAGATCATCCCTCATATCCCAGCCAATCAGTTCTGATGTTCTATGACCATCATTCTGAGGTTCTGTATTTTTAAGGTTCCTTCCAGCTAAGCAAGAGGGATTAAAAGCCACTATTTTTTGTCTCTGTGTCCTTCAGATGAGCAGAGCATCCTTCCGTGTAAGAAGGAGGAGCTGCAGTGTGACAACGGGCTGTGCCTGCTGAACTGGCTACGCTGTCACTACAAGAAGGACTGTAGTCGAGACTACATGTCCATCAAAATCAGCTGCTCCAGTAAGTCCTCTTTCTCACGCCACCCCTCCCACCCTGAAGGGTACCGCCACCTGAGCTCTGGGCTGCCTGGCATGGGTGCCTCACTCTCCAGCCAGGCCCTGGGGTGGATGCTTTGGGAAGAGGGTTGGTGTTTTTATTAAAGACATCATGGGTTTTGCCAAAGAATTAAATTAATCAAATAGCAGGTACCCAGGGAGGGCAGGAGGGGAGAGAAAAAAAAGGGAAAATTTTTGTAGTATAGTGGAAAGGTCACCAGATATGGAGCCAAAAGCCCCAGCTCTGCTGCCTAATAAATGGTGGGACCACGGACAAGTCATTTTAACTTGAGTCTCCAATTCATCATCTTTAACAGCCCTTTGGACTTCTTGTATTAGATATCCCATAGGCATCGCAAATTCAACATGGCCAAAACAGGATTCATTATCCTTCTTCCCAGACATTACCCCATTCCAAACTCCCCGATTACCATCAAGGGCATCACCATCCTTCCAGGCACCCAGGCTCCCGACCTCACTGTCCATCCTCAGCTCCTCCCTCGCACTCAGCCCCAAGTCTCATCATTCATACCTTCACAATATCACTTCTATGTCCCCTTCTCAACACTCATACAGAAACAACTTTAGTTCAGGCCTTCATTCTAGGTTGCCTGGATAACTGCAATGGCCTTCTCACTGGTCATCCTACCTCAAGTCTCTCCCCACCCAAATCACGTGCCAGTCATCTGCCAAAGTGATTTTTCTAAAGCACACATCTGACCATGTCTGCCCCCTGCTCAATGAACTTCAATAGCCCTCTATTACCTCTGGGATAAAATAGAAAGTCTTCATCCCTGGACCTCTTTCTGTCTTCCTCATACTTTACTACCCTTCACACAGTCTAGGATCCAACCACAATGACCTACTTGCAATCCCTTGAACACAGCAAATGAGATATTTGTAAAGCACTTAGCACAGTGCTTGGTATATAATAGGTACTTTATCAATGCTAGCTACTAGTAGTTTTTTGTTACTACTACCACTAGTATTATTATTGTTGTTGTTATTAGTATTATTACTATCTCGCTTCTCCTTGGCTTTGTACTTCAAAGACCCCTCCATACCTAGAATACTCTGCTTCCCGCATCTCAGCTTTTTAGTTTTCTCAGCTCAGCTCAAATCTCACCTCCGTAAGAGACTTTTTTTGGTGCCCCTACCAAGGTAATCGTGCCTAGTAGAGACCACTTGATGGCATGTAGTATATACGGTGTTGATTCTAGAGTTAGGATAGACCTAAGTTCAAATCTGGCCTCAAACACTTAGTAACTTTGTGACCCTGTGTAAGTCACTTAACAGCTGTCTGTCTTGGTTTCTTCATCTGTAAAATAGGGATAATAATAGCACTTAACCTCTTAGAGTTATTGTAAGGATAAAACAAGATGATATTTGTAAAGTATTTTGCAAACTAAAGTATTATATAAATGCTAGATATTGTCATTCTTTTCTCAAATTACTTTTACCTACTCACTCTCATTCTTTCTCTATATGTGTGTATATGTAAACACACATATGTATCATAAATCTGGCCTCAGCCACATAACACTAGCTGTGTAACCCTAGGCAAGTCGCTTAACCCCAATTGCTTCACCCAAAAAACAAAAACAAAAAAACAAAAAATATATATGTCATAAATACATATGTAAACGCATCTCTGTGTGTGTATGTATATATATATGTATATATGTATGTGTATATATATATATATATCGTATATACATCATTATTTACTTGTTGCCTCCCCATTAGAATGCACACTCCTTGAGGACAGAGAGCCTTTCTTTGTATCCCCATAAATAAGTGCTTTGTGAGTAAGTTTGTTGACCAACTGGGTAACTGACTAGTCTATAAACTAGAGACAGTGGTACCTACCCTACCTACCCCACTGGGTTCTGTGCAGATTAAAAATAATCAATACTGAAGCTCTGGATTGTCCAATATGGACAAGTAGAACAGAGGGGTCACCCATATGGTTTCATGCCCCATTCAGGGCAGCCTTTGCTAGAGATGGGCTGAAGATCCAGGTAAGGTTTAGCAGAGCATCAACCCTGCCACTCCACCTTCAGCTAGGGGCAGGGGGATTTCTTCTGGAGTTGTCAGGCAGCAAACACCAGACCAGCTGTTCCTCGGCCCTTTCTGAAGCCACAGTGACTCTCAGGTAGATGACCATCCTCTAGGGGAAGAATCAGCAGATTAAGGAGTACTGGCAAGAATCTTGCGGGCAATGACTGAGAGAGAGAGACCTCTTGTGATTGTCACAGGACAAGCTATTTCCTTTTCCTTTATAGAGATGTACAATAGAGGCATCCTTAATTTGAAATTTAATCTGCATTTTTAACATTTTCTCCATCCCTTTTGTAGGTCTAGACAACCAAAACAATGACTCAAACCCTGATAACAACAACATTTATATAGCTGTCAAAGGTTTACAAAGTGCTTTACATATGTTATCTCATTTAATCCTCACAACAAATAGGTGCTATGATTTATTCCCATTTTACAAATGAGGAAACTGAGGTTGGGAGAGGTTATATAGTTTGCCCAGGGTCACACAATTAATAAATGTCTAAGGTAGGATTCAAATTCATGTCTTCCTGACTCAAAGCCCAGAACTTTTTCCGCTACAGTGCCGGGTTGCCCTTATCTTCCAGATATTCCAGGAAATACTGGGAACTGTTTTGTCTCTAAGATTTAAGGTCATGGTATGTGAGAAAAATATTGGACTTGGAGTCAGGGAATTTGGAGTCAGGAGTCAAAATCCTCTCTGGCCTCAATTTTCTCATCTGTAAAAGGAGGGATTTGGGCAAGATGACCTTCAAGGGTCCATTTCCACTCTAAATCCATGATCTGATGATCTGCTAAGTCACACAGATAGGATGCAGTTTTGACTGTTGGAGGAAATTCCCATGCTAGGAGTCTTCCTGCTGTGGAAATTGTGGATCTTTCATTTATACATGTATAGTATTTAATATTTTGAAGCTGGCAGCTGGGTGGCACAGTGGATGGATCACTGGGCTTGGAATCAGGAAGACTCACCCTCCTGAGTTCAAATCTGGCCTCAGACCCTTACAAGCTGTGCGATCCTGGTCAAGTCACTTCACCCTATTTGCCTCAGTTCCTCATCTGTAAAATGGGCTGGAGAAGTATCTTTGCCAAGAAAACCCCAAATGGGGTCATGAAGGGTCAGCCACAACTCAAACAATTCAACAACAACAGCAGCAAACTTTGAAGCACTCTCATAGAAACTGGAAAGGGCCTTAACACTTAGAGTGGTAAATAGAACGTACAACATAGGCTCTTAAGAACTGGAAGGGGCCTTGAAATGTAGTGTCAGAGTCAAAAGTGACCTGGCACATAGTAGGTAGTTAACAAACATTGATTGGTTGATTGATAGTCTCTTAGAATATAATGTTACCTTGGGGTGCAAAGGATGTTGAGGAAAGACTAACTCTTCTGATGTGAGGGCTTGCCGAGCCCTTTTCAGGGCTGTTCATTTGCCTTTGGAGTCCACCTTCATCCAACTCTCACCGGTGGCTCTGAGAAGCTGAAGCATGCTCAGAGGCCACACTCCAGTTAATTGTCTTAGCAGAAGGGGTAAAACAGGTTGAAGGTAACCAACAGGCCTCAAACCTGTCAGTGAGTTAGGGGGTGTCTACCCCAAGCATGTGAAGATTTCCCCAATAGAATGGGGGGATGAGAACAATTTGTTCCAAAGGACATGAAGGAGGCTAAAGGAGGCGCTGTAGAGCACTTAGAGCTTGGTCAGATATTGAAGACGTCAAAATCATCCCCTACATCCAGGCCATCTCCGGTCATCTTGACTTCTGTCTTGCCAGTGAATGTCAGTGACTCTGGAAGAGAGATTGAGGCTGATGACTTTGTGCAACTTTGCTTCACTTTAATCCATTTCACACACAAGTCAAGGCATCACCCCATGACGTCCTTAGTCCTCTTCAAAATGAAGGACAAGAAACAACAATAATGCCTCAGATGCCACCTTAGAACACAGAATGTCAGAGTTTAGACACTATCTAGTCCACCCTTTTCATTTGGCAGTTAAGGAAACTGAGGCCAAAAGAGTTAAGTGAGCCAGAACTGAATACAATTCTCCCGACTCTGAGCTTGGTGTGTTTTTCACTACCACAGTTGTATTATTTCAGTCTCACGGTCATTTTGTGAATCACACAGAGGCAAAATATTTCCATAAATTTTGAAGCTTTGGCACAGGGAGAAGAGGAAAATGTATTGGGGGGAAATATATGCATTTGTTTTGGTGACCTCCGTCTCTAAAGCAAGAATTCTTAACATTGTGGGTGTCCTGGGGCTATTGGCAGTTCAGGAAAACCTATGACCCCTCATCAGAATTCTGTTTTTAAATGCATAAAATAAAATACATAGGGTTTTAAATTATGGGAAACTAAGTGGTACAGTGGATAGAGTGCCAGGCCTGAAATCAGGAAGATGAGTCTTCCTGAGTTCAGATCTGGTCTCAGACACTTACTAGCTGTGCTATCCTGAGCAAGTCATTTCACCCTGTTTGCCTCAGTTTCTCCATCTGTAAAAATGAGCTGAAGAAGGAAATGGCAAACCACTCCAGTATCTTTGTCAAGAAAATCCCAAATGGGGTCATGACGGGTCAGACATGCCTGAAATGGCTGAACAACAATAAAATAAAGGAAAGCAAAGGTTAGTGAAAATCAAGATATGATTTTTCCCCCATTCAAGTAGATGGACTCCTTGAAATTCCTCCATTAAGAACTTCTGCTCAATGGGAAAAGATATATTGGTACAAAAATATTTATAGCAGTTCTTTTTGTGGTGGCTAAGAATTGGAAATTGAGGGGATGCCCATCAACTGGGGAATGGCTGAACAAGTTGTGGTATATGATTGTGATGGAATGCTATTATGCTATAAGAAACAACAAGCAGGATGATTTCAGAAAAACCTGGAAAGACTTACATGAACTG